TTCCCTTCTCTACTACTGAAGCAATGCAAATGGGATTGAGCCCAGCAGATCTGGCCCTATTTATGCAGTAACGCTAGGAGCTATGGCTTGCAGAGCTGTGTGTAGTAAAAAGGGTGAGCACATGGCAGGAGGAAGCAAGCAGGATGGGGGAAGAGCCGGGAACCAGATCCATAGGAATGCGCGCTACAGCCACTTGAGACCTGCTGGGGAACAGCTGCCGCCAGCATGGGACAGGCGCGCAGCTAAGTGCCGCGGTATCCTGTCTGTCTCCTCTGGCCCCTTCTCCCATTTATCTGCTCTGATTCTTTCTGGCAAAATGTTTTCCAGCTCAGGTTCAGGAAACGTGCTCGGCTGCCTCCCTGGGCCTACTCTGAAGAGTTATGAATATATGGGGGGCATAATTATCAGCATGTTGGATCAGAGAAAAATTGCATTTTAATTGCATAATTACAGCAACTGAGAGAAGCCCCTAAGCCTCCAACGCCTCTTGCTGCCAGCGGGACAGCCAACTGCATGCCTTCCCCAGCAATCAAGGACTATTCATGCCTTGAAGCAACATTTACAAAGGGCCTGGAGTGAGCTCTTTTCATTCACAAGTCATAGGTTTCATCAAGAAATAGACTAACACGAGAAAAGCACTCAGCCCAGAGCTGGGCAGCTGTTTCCTGGGCACCAAGGTATTGGGAGGAACAAGGGGGAGGTTGGGGAACTGCATGGTGACCTCTTCTTGGGGTTTTGCGGTGGGATTCCCTGATCCCGCTGCCCTGGTGTGGGTAAGCTGACTTGTGCTTGCATGACTGGGAGCTGAAGTAGTCAGATCTACGCAAATAGCCTGCCCCAGAGCTGATCCTCAGCAATCAGGCACTCACTTGGAGCTGACTTCTGCACTCATAAGAGCATAAAAACTGCCATTTATTAGGTCTGACCATCCTGCCCCATCTCCTGTGTCACACGGGCAGAGAGCGGATGCTGAAAGGGAGGGTGAGCTGGGTCTGAGCAGGGTTTTTCCCGCTGTTCCTCTCCCACTTGCAGCCTCCAGCACTGCAGGGCTAGGAAGCTCTGATGCACAGGCAGTGCCCCTCACTCCCCGGCTCAATAGCGACTGATGCCCCTTTCCTCCAAGGACGCCTTCACTCCCTTTTCAAATCTGGCTAAGCTGGCAGCGTCCACTGCATCTGGTGGCCATGAGTCCCACACTTTAATGACACCTGACAACAGGGAAGAAAAGGAGTTAAACAGGATCCTGTCGCCAGCAGAGGACTTGACCCTCGTGAATATGTAAAGCCCAGGTGGATTTGGGAAGTCATCTGTGAACAGCAGGGAAGGGGGTGAGTCGTTACAGAGCCTGGATGGATGCTAAATTCCCAAGGAAAAAGACACTGGTGCCCAGCTCTGAGCCTGCTCCCGCTGTGCTCCCTGCCTGCAGGGCTGCTTGCTGGCCAGCCGGTAACCCAGTGTCTTCAGATGCAGCGGGGAGTCTGCCGGGCGAAGAAGAGAAGGGGATTTGGTGCCTGAAGTGGAGAGTGGAGGGATGAACCAGAAAGCTTTGCTATGTGGCAAACCAAATGGGGGCAGCGAAGACGTGGCGGCATGGGCTTTCACATGGGCTGGCAGCCAGAGGGATGGGCTCTCCAGGAGCTCGGGCACGGAGCATGGATGTGCTAAAACCCTTGGCATTGCCTGTTCTCTGGCACTGTTACCCACGTTAGCTCAAATCAGCCATCATGGATAAGCTAGGACACTTTGCAGGCATGCCACAAATCAGCCGTGAACCCTCCCTGAGTGCCACACCAATCCCTTTCCCCTGCCTGATCCACTGCTCTGCTTTCTGCTCCCTGCCCTGTGCTTCCCGTATAATCTGTTGTTCTGCTCCCTGGCTGATTGGCTGCTCTGCTTTCTGCTCCCTGCCCTGTGCACCCTGCCTGATCTGTTTCATTCTCTCTAAATTGAAGCGGTGTTTTCTGTTTAGGGCAAAGTAAATCCCCGTGTCGTGTACACCCATTAAAGCGGTGCAAAAGGCATTTAACCCACTTTAAACCCTCTTTAAAGTGTCGTGTACAAATGGCCTTTAACACTGTCCCTAAAGGGTCCTGCTGTCACCACTGCCCCTTGCATGTAGCCCCGCGAAGGTCTGTGTAATAATCGGGTTATTCCTAGTCTTGTAACAGAGGTGCTCTAGGGTTTCAATAGCCTCAGCCTTGTTTCTACCTTGTCCCAGCAGCAATGGGTGAGGGATAAGCTAGTCGCTATGTAGCTCCAAAGCTAGTCACTATGTTTTCCATCCTTGTAGAGTTGAAGGCTCAAACAGACTGTTCCAGTCATCCAGTCTGACCTGCACAGCACGGGCCAGAGACCCTCCCCAGACATCCCTGCCTCAACCCCATCACAGTACAGATATACCTGAGAGGAAGGAGGACAGGACCTGTTACCGGACAGGCAGAGACTCAGTCCAGATCCACAGACAGCTGAACTCGGGCAGGAGTAAATGCCATACCCGCGATCCTGGCCCGATTCTCGACTGCCTTGTGTCTTTTCACTCGTGCAAGGAGAACAAAAGCAGCCACACCAGGCACCATCAGAAAGGCACTCCCATTCCTCTGCATGGCGTGCTCTGCAAAGGCGGCTGGGACTTACCCTGAACTGCCCGCCGTTCCCGTCATCCAGCTCCAGGATGTATCCTTCCACCTGCACCATTGACAAGGGCGGCTGCTTCCAGGACAGGGTGGCGCTGTTGTTGTGCGTGCAACACTCTTCCAGCTGCAGGATCGGGGGCGCCGGCACTGGAGAGGAAGCTAAGCACAAATTAGTGTAACTCTGGCTTCTGCGACCAGAGCGGGAATTGGGTGAGTCGCGAGCATCCGAACTGTGGCAACCCACATCCACACGTGCACGTTTCATGCCACGTGCAAAGGCTGGATCCCTCCTCTGGGAACCCACCCTGTGCCAGACACTGGAGTCAGTCTCATGAAATTGCCTTCCTGAGATGCTCTCCAGAGTCAGGCTCGGCTTCACTTTGTTCCCTTATTTTCTTTTAACTTCCTCTCCTCTCAATTTAGGACGAGTGTGAAAACACAGCAATACCCCTCCTTTCTCCCTAATTAAACATCACACTTTAGGCTACATTGTTAAAGGAAGGTGGGAGCTTGCTGACTTGTGTGCAAGCTAAGTGCTCAGCCCTTCTCGGGTGACCTGAGCTGAGCCTTGCACTTCTCTGTTAAAAGTGCTGAAAATGATGGTGCAGCTAATGAAGGACCATGGAAGTGCTTTTGGCTGCTCTACTAGATGCACAGGTACCAATTAATGCCATTGAGATAAAATACGATAAGTAATGGCAGGGCCATTATTTCAAATCCTTGCTGTGGCTGAAGCAGCAAATGTTTAAGAGCTTTTTGTGTCTCCTTGCTGAAGTGTCTGTTATTGGGTGTTAATGACTGGTGTAAGGCAATCCATCAAGGAAGGAATGAAGCCTGGGGGGGGTCAAGTCCTATGGGGCTGGTCTTGAAGTGGAGATCTGGGCCCCTAGTTTAATACGTGCCAAAAAGCCAACAGGTGTAAAGCAGGACTCCAGCCAATAATGCTTTTCTGAGTCAGGGCCAATTAGCATCTTCTTTCAATTTCCGGAGAGACGACATGTCGGAAATTGCTTGCAGGTTGTGACGGATCTCTGCTCCCGGTGAATTAATGAGAGCTATCAGCGGCACACCACCGCGTGGCTAGTTGTACACACGGACAGTACGTAATCAGGGGGAAATTAAAATGAAAGATGAAAACCCAAAAATTCCAGGAAAAAGAGAAGGGGAAAAAAAGAAGCCGGCTGACTCAGGTGATGCAATTTTTTGCTGCGGGTGAATAGCTCCGGCCTATCTTGAGAAGGGAAGTGGCTCGGGCACAGGCAAATATAAGCACTTGTTTGAGGGCTGTAGCCGTGCTGGTCTCAGCACATCAGCAGACAAGGTTCTTGGGTAAATCTGATCTCTTTTATTAGAGCACAGACCAACTGCAGGTGCTTCCTCAGCCTGACGAAGGGTATTTATACCCAAAAGCTTGCAGAGAAGAATTTTTTCCAACTATTTGAGTTGGTCTAATAAAAGATATCAGATATACTCAAGAAACCTGGTATGAAGGATGCACTTTCAGGAGAGACCTTTGTATGAGAGACAGGCAGGGCATTGTCTGAGTCATGCAAGCACCCATGTGCACGTGTGTGTTCACGTGTGTGTGTGCACAAGTGTGTGGCAATTCTCTGTGGTACTCTCCTCAGTTCTACGCCTAATTCCCTCTGAAGCCAAGGGCTTGGTTAAAGGCAGGGGAAGCCTCTTTGGTGACCAGCCCCATGGGGAAGTGGTCTGTGTTGGCACCGTGGGCTCACAATTATTCCTAAGGCAGTAGCAGGCATGTCCCCCCATGACTCTCCCTTGGGACAGGCCACGCCAGGAAGGAGGGAGGCTGGGTGGTTTTGTGTTTGAGCCCCAGGACCAAGGTAGGCCTGATCTTGACTATGCCACATGGTTTCCTTTGACATCCTGCCCTCCCTGTTCATCTCCTGCAGCTTTCCTGCCACCGGACTAGGAGGTCGTAGCCAGTCCCATCTTTCACAGTTGCTACAGTTATGTGGGCGTATTATGTTTGGATGTGATATGTTGAAAGTGGGGGGTTTTAGATGGGTTTTGCTCTGGCAGAGGATGGGTTAATGGCTGGGTTGCAAAGGGGCTGAGTGTGCCCTGGCTAACTGCACTCTGCTATCTGGATGGTGTGGGAAGGATCCAAGGCTCTGTTCTTGGGCCTACACTTTTGAACACCTTCATTAATGATGTGGACATTGGTGTCAGAAGGGGACTGGCCAAGTTCGCCGATGACAATACTTTGGGGAAAGGCGTCCACACCTGAGGACAGGATGGTGATCCAGGCCAACCTTGACAGGCTTGGAAAATGGGCAGATGAAAACCTGATGGCCTTCAATGGTGAAAAATGCAAGGTACTCCACCTTGGAAAGAAAACCCCACAGCATGCTTATAGGCTCGGCAGTGCTACGCTTGCTAGCAGCATGCCCGAAAGGGACTTGGGGGTCATGATTGACCACAGGATGAATATGAGCCACCAGTGTGATGTTGCAGCCGGCAAAGTGAGCAAATCTCTGGCTTGCATCCAGAGATGCTTCTCTAGCAGATCCCAGGATGTCATCCTCCCGCTGTGCTCGGCCTTGGTGAGGCCGCAGCTGGAGTACTGCATCCAGTTCTGGGCTCCACAATTTAAAAGGATGTGAAGAAACCTGAGAGAGTCCAGAGGAGAGTCATGTTTTTCCTAATTCTTGGAGTTGGGTCTTTTTTAATCCTCAAATTTTAGCTGTCCTGTAATTGTGGATTTCATCTCATGGGGAGTTTGTACCCTCAGGGTCCCGTTACATCACGCTCCCTTCTCCAGCACACCCCTGAACCCCAGGGCTTTTCCTGAGCTTCACCCCACCCTTCTCCCTTCTTGCTTTTAAGGAAATGGATAGTGCCCCCCATTGGTTGCCCCCTGGCACGTCCTGATTTTAGCCTGGAAGGAGGCTTTGTGGCAAGTGCGAATTGAGGGCTATTTCCTACATGTGCCGAGGACAGGCGCTCACCTTTCATCTGCACGAAGTCGAGCTGGTGGATGGACTGCAGCAGTGGCGCGCTGTCCAGGTTCAGGTCAAAGTCCGTGGTCATCCGTGGTGTCAGCGTCCCCTTCCCCCACTGGTCCTCGGTTAGGTGCACTCTTCTGATGAGCGCATCGGAAATCTGATGGCAATAGAAAGTGCAGCCTCAGCTACCATGTGTCACCACGGGATGGGCGGCGTGCACTGGAAGGAGCTGCAGTGGTGCTGCGGTAAGTCACGAGGGATGGGGCATGCCCACTGCTTTGGAGTAGTGCAAGTTGTGCCAATGGCTTCAGAGCACCCCAAGGGCTCTAGAGATGCCTTTCCCTGAAGGCTTAAATGTGTAAGTTCCTCCCAGCAGAATCATATCGTGTATCAGGAGATGGTTTGTTAGGTGAACCACCCCTAATCTGGAGCCTCCTGTGCCAACCCAATGCCTGGACTCATCTGGGAGACAGAGCTGATTCCCATACTCCAGGACTGTGCTTGTGACTGACCCACCACCTGAGCCCTTATCTGGAGGATTGCAAGCGTCCTCCTTACTCCCTAGGACACAACATCATCTGCTGTAAAACTCTTCACTCAGAGCCTTTTATAAACCACAGGATGAAGAATCGTGCCCTGGTCTCAGGCCTTTACTTCCTATTTCCTCTCTACTGCTTGCTTCTGCATCTTGCATTCAGCTCCTGATTTCTGTATAATGATCTTCTTACCAAGGGCCAGCTTCTGAGGTCCTTTCTCGCCAGGAGTAGTTGCTTACTGCTCACACTGTCCCGCTGATATGATGTGTAAAGTAAGGTATTATTTAACGTGAGTATGAATCAGGATCCAACCCCTAGCAGGCACTGCTGCCCCCTCACTCAGCCTGTACTGCCAGATCTACCCATCTCACACCGAGTGGGGTCCTGCTCACACAGCAGTGGATGGGTGGCTAGCCCCTGAGCGCCGGCACAGCTGGATTGGCTGACAAATAGGAAGGAAACTTCTAACTATTGTTGTGAGAGGCAAGAAATTGTGTGGGTGCTGTCTTTTACTGGACCAGCTGCGTAGTTGGGATGGGCACAGGCAAGCTTTGGGCACCAGGTCTCTAAATGAAGTCACAGCAATAAGAAGGATGTCTGCTACTCTACAGGAAAAATTGGAAGGAAGAAAGTCTCCCCTTCTATATTGGACCCAACCCTGCACGTTCCCATTCCCTGGGGCTGTTTTGGGCCCTGGTGCCCGCAGATAACACCCCCCCCACCTTGCCCCCCTCATGCGGGGGCTGCCAGTCAAACCCCATAGGGAGCAGGAGATCTTTGGCCATATCTCCTGCCTCCGCCTTGTCCCTGACACCCTCTGTCTGTGGCTGGTGGCTGGGAAGAGTGGGACGTGCTGCTTAAAGAAGTCCAGACAAGGCATTGCTTAACCTCTGTTTTCTTGTAGTGCCTAATGATGAAGAGAAATGATGCCTGCAGAAATCCCTAAGTGGCCTGCCCCATTCTGTGACAACAATAGAAACTGAGTGGCCTAAAGATTCAGACCTGTATCTGCCCTTGCCTCCCTGGGTCCCTGGCCCTGCACTCTCTCAGCTGTGGGTAAGTCAAAAAGCCCCTGGAAGTGCAGATCCCCCCACACCAACCTGTAGGAACCCGCTGGGGTCGTTCTCCTTGATGACCTCCAGGCAGTACTCCATCAGGCCCGTGGTCTGGCGCAGCTTGACCGTGCAGTGGGAGATCTGGTCCCGGACCACCTGGGGAGAGACGAGGAGAAGAGCGTTTCCACGGGGAGCTGGAAGCTGGGAGACTCCCAGGGCCTCCCCCTGCCCCTTCATTGCTAAGGGGCATGTGCCCATGATCTGACAGGGAAGATCAGGGGGCAGAAACAGAGAGGAGCAAAAGAAAGACAGGCCAGAGGGAGGGAAGGGCACAGAGGGGTCCACATCACTCCTGTCCCTAATGAGATCCACTGTGAGATGCCTCTGTGCACATACACCACTGCAACGGTGGGGCTCCAAGGGCCCCCGCCATGGCAGGCAGGGAGGCTTGCTGCAGAGCTCTTGTTAAAGAGATGTAACGGGATGGTCTGTCTGTGCAAGAAGCACCGGGTAGCACCGTTGAGACAGCCCAGCTGTAGGGTATTTGGATGGACATGGAGTGTCCTGCTAGGAGCTATAAAAGCTCCCAGAAGAATAAGCAGGAGGAGGAAGCAAGTGGTGAGTTCAGATGCTGGAAGGGGTCAGGCTGCTGGGCTGGGAGCCAGAGCTAAAGGATTCATCCTCCAGAACAAAAGGATTTGTCCTCCAGTGCCTGGGCCGAGGCAGAAGGGTTTGGTCTGCTTACCCGGTAACTTAAGTGTGACGGGCTGGCTGGCAGTGACCTGGCCCAGGGGTTTGAAAGGGCAAAAGATGCTTGGAGGACCTGGGATTCCCTTTCCGCACCAATCAGACACCAGAGACTCACCCTCCGTGTCCCCTGATTGGCCCCTTGGGTCACCTGGAGGGGGATAAAAGGGGCAGCGTGGGCTGACTCAGGAGAGACCAGTGAGGGACGACAAGGAAGGAGCTTCACAGAGCTGGCAAGAGCTGAGCTAGCAGGGCAGGGGCAGTGCCCCAGAACAGCCTGAAAGAGCAGGACCTACAGGCAGCAGTGGGACCCTCAGCAGTGCGGCGTGCGGCTGGCAGGAGAGGATCCCCACTGGGCTCCAGGATCCCTGGGAAAGGCTGCAGCCAGCAGGAGAGGCTCCCCCGCTCCAGCCAGGATCTGAGCAGTGACCTGAGAGGTTCCCAGCTCTGCTTCCAGCTCCTCCAATCAGAGGCCAGGCAGCTCGACGTGAGGCCAGGGCTCTGGGAAGGTTGAGACCCCTCACAGGCTGGCATACTGCCACCAGTGGTGGCTGTGTGGTAGTGTGCCTACCTACCATGGGGGAGATCTGGGTTCAAGTCCCAGCTGGAATGACTTGGGGTGAGTGAGCTAACAAAAAACAAATCTTGCAGTGGAAAGGGGCCATTGTGTTTTCCCTCCTTTCTCCTCCTCCAGGTACCAAGGCCCTATATTTCCTTGTCATTTGACATTTTGTGCCTTTTTATATTTTGCCAACCCGTATTGTTTGTTCTGCTGTTTGACAAAAAACAGGGTTAACAAAATTATAAAACACAATGATTGTAAGTGTCTAACCTTGGGGCATTGTAGTGTCCACTATACCCTCCGATTTATGCCTGTTATGTTCCCAGTATTAAAAGGTATATGGTTAAGTCCCCATTGGTGGTCTGGCTCTGCTCTATAGGGGGAGAAGAGTCCCTACACCTCCCACAGCGCTTGTGCACCTGCTTTGATCCCTTCGACTGGAGAGGGGGTACCTCTTGGAGCACCGCCCGGGTTACATAAGGATTGTGATATTTGAAGGATGGGCTGAGGAGCTCCTTGGGGAGCAAAGCCTGCCTGCAAAAGCCAGCAGGCTGGGTAACCTGCTTGCAGGGGATTTCCAAGGCCCTGCAGCCTCAATAAACGGGTATCAGCCCAGTGCTGCAGATGTCAGCAATGCCCCAGCATATGCCAGCTGAGGGTCAGGCCTAGCCTTAGTCAAATCTCAGCCAGGGAATGGAAGGAACCTCCTTCCCATAGCTTAGGGGCTACTTCTTCTTTTCTCCACCTCCTTGGGCTTACTGATGATCACCACTTCATCAAGCATTCAGTTCTGCAGTATGCTGGAACTGAGGGCATGGGTTTCCCAGTTTGCAGGATATAGGGTTTGCATTTGCAGGATACAACCCCAGTGCTAGCAGTTAACGAGAATGGGGGTAACCCGTTTCTGCCCAGCTAATCCACAGATCTAGACAGCAGATCAAGTAGTACATCATGGCCTATATTGAGCAGCAAGAATGCAGGAAACCTGGCAGGGCACGTGGGCAGTGAACACGCTCCCTCAGGAGTGCAGGTCCTTCTGCACCTTTGGCTGTGGCTCTCCAGGACATGTTTGCAGGACACCCCCCGGAAGTGGAAAAACTTCCTAGCTCTGGTTCCTGAATCCAAAGGAGCGAATGCAATAGTTTACCTGGGACCCTAGCAGCCATTTGTATGCATCATCGAGTTCAGCTCTGATAACTGGTGTGTTAACAACCATGTGCAACCCCAAAGGCTTCCCATAATAACTTTTCAATAATTCAGACCACCGAGTCATTACAATAATGCAACTGTTTCATAACCTGGGTTTCTCTGGTCTCTTCTAATGGTGGGTTCTGGAAATTGGCTTAAACCCAAGATGGGAAAGATGGGATTTTTTTAAATCGGTGAGACACCGTACATGCTAATGGCTGGTACATCTAAGCAAAAAATCTTTCCCTGATTTGCACTGCCAATCTCTTACCCATAGGGCTGGATCCAGGCTGAATATTTTGCATTCATTCAGAGTCCTGATCTTCAAATGACGTCAATGGAAATTCCAGGTACAGTGCACACAGCAGACTTGTACCGGAGATAGGAGATTTGTAGCACAGATCAGAGAAGGCAATTTTACACTTTGGGTGAACATGTCAACAGCAGGTATGGAAGAGCCTACAGCTCTGTAAAATTGGCTGGACTCAATTAAGCTAAGCAATCCCATAGGTCACATTTATTTAATGCATTACGCAGATGATAAATCACCACCCTTCCAACAGCATCAGCAGCTACAGCTTAGTTGAAATACTGCAATAAATGGAGGTGAATAACTCCTGAGTTCATGGTTTGACATTCACTGTTGCCTCACAATAGCGATGTATCTATGATTTATCAGCCAGGAACCTGACTAAAGAGCAGTATCCAAGTAGCCGTCTTTGGCTAGGCAGCCTCATTTGATGGCAGGTGAGATGGATCACCCAAGCACCTGTGTTGGTAAACTGGGACTTCCAGGTGAAGACATGCAAGCTCTACTTTCCGGCATCAAAATGAACCTTAGTTTCAAGGGTGTGCAATGGCTCACTCAGCACAATCAGCAAGATCCTGTGTTACTCAATTATAACTCAATCCCCGCTCCTTAATTATCTAGTAGACTGCAAAATGTCATATAACTCAGGCTGGCATACCCCTTTCCACACAAATGCATTAAAGGGCTGCCCACCAATATTTCTCCATGCAGCTCTCACTGCTTATGGACTCGCCATTTTATTCTTCTTGTTAGGAAAATGTTATATTCCATTTGCTGGAAGACTCAACCCAGCATGAACTTCAAAAGAAGAAGAGAATCGGGTTCAGGCTGGACCAGCAATTTTAAGGATGTTAATCGGCATAGGCACAGCTCTGGAATTAGTTAATTGGTGCATTTGCTACAGAAAAGCCGGAAGGGGGAGCTCATTCATTGTTTTTAAATCTCTTCCTGCCCACCAAAGCAGTACATGCCGGCTGGGTTATACCCTGTGGAAGCATGTAGTGCAATAGCAATGGCTTGCTCTTGATTCTCAAGCTGCTGCAGCCCCCGGAGGTGCCTGGAGATCCTTTCAAGGGTGCTGCAGGGTGCCGTGCGACGTTGGCACGGGGAGGTATGCAAACAGGATTCACAAGGCACACCCAGATGTTTCATCTGGGACTTCCTAGTGTTGAAACCATTCACCCCTGCTGTGGGCTTTCTGAGTTCTTTGCAACAAAATAATTGCGCTCGTATTTTTCTGTAGTCAAAAATGAGTGAAAACTAAGAGCTGGGATTTCCCAAGGGGCGCCTTGAATCTAAGGTTGAGAAGCACTGCTTTAAGGCAAGACTACAATGCAGGCAAGTTGGTTTCCCGAGCTACAGCGATGTAAGTGCACACCGGAGTGTTGTCCTCACTGATTCCCTGTCACTGCTGGGAAAAATTAATTCACTGTTCATTGCTACAACCCAAGTGAACTTAATATGTTGAGTTACAGCAGAGGCTGGCAGCTAAGGCACTAGACTGAGGGCTCAGGGGACACTGATCCTGGTCTTGGTTCAACCTGCCGTGTGACTTTGGGCAAGTCTCCATGTCTTTATGTCTTTCCCCCATCAATTTAGATTGTAAGCTCTTGGGGGCAGGGGCTGTCTTTCCTATGTGGCCACCCAGCACAAGGGATCCTCTAGGTGTGCTTATAACTAGGGTTTGGTCTGGTTACCAAACAACTGGTAGTGGTTGGGAAGCCTGTTAGTAGCCCTGATGCTGTATTTCACCATAGCAGGTTATAAGAGAGCTTACAACATTGATTTTCACTTCTCGAGCTATTTTTCAATGTTTGATCAACCAGGCTCGGTTAAAACCAAGGGTCCCCATGTAAAGCAGCTATTTAGTGCCCAATGTGAGGTTCCAGGGTAGATAATTTACCCTGATCCACTATTACATTGCATCAGGTATCAACAGCATAGTAGTACAAGCCATTGGGAGTAACTTCATTCATGGCCACGGCCTTACCATCCTCAGCCATCCCCACATCCCTTTGGTACAGGACCAGGTAACAATGGGACAGAAGAGACGGTCCAAGAGACGGTTCCCAGCACACGGTCACTTTTGCCGCATGTACTCTGATCCCAGACCTGCAGTTTTCATACTGGCAAGATGTCCAGTGAAGTCAAAATGGATCCTGCAGCACTGTAGGCTTGGCGCCTTCTTGAAGTCAAAACACGAATGGCGTGGTAGAGGATCTTCGCTGGCAGTACAGTGATACAGGCACCAGCATCGGCCCCTCAGGGGACTTTGTTGAAGCAATGGCCCCCCACAGCCTCAGCAGTATAATACCGTGAAACCACCACCAAACCCTGCATTGACAGAAT